GATGGCATTTTGTGTTGCCTAACTGCTGAGCAAGAAACCAAGATAACTGACTAGTTAACTGTCCTTTGCCGGTTTACACAATCAAGTGGTTGTTAAACGACAACATCAATTTTGGACTATCTCACAAATAAGCCTTCTTTTCTCTTAACAATAATATCGTTTGGTCAGAATCCTCAAACACAATTAGAATGTCTACCAAGAGAAGGGGGTCAATGTCCCCATGGTTCTGACCCGAGTACTCAGCTCTGTACCTACCTGCCCTGACAGCCCCTGCTCTTCTCTGAATGACCTGGGGCCATGATCTCCTGTGTTTGCCAATTTTTCAATCATCCTACTTATTAATTAATTCACTTCTGTAGTTGCTGTCATCTTTTTGCACTATCTCTGCTTTGGTTCCTTAGAGTTCACCAACACATGGCTTTTACTGTAGGCTGGGAGTCAAGGAGAGGACTAGAATAGCACAATCAAGTGTGAACACTGGGTGTAAACATCACTACTTGAGAGTTTCCTGACTTGGGGGCTATGGTAGTGAATTTAAAATATGTCTGTAAGTTATTTGATATTTCTCCCTTCAAAAAGTGGAACCGAATTCCTCTCCCCCAGAACATGAGTTAAGACACACTTTTAACAAATAAAAGTGGCTGAAGTGAAGATCTATGACTTCCAAGGCTAGGTCATAGAAAAGTTTCTCCTTCTCTCTGTCTTTCCATCAGCACCGCCCCCTCTTCATCTCTTGAAAGCAACTCTGGGAGAGCCCCTTGTGGAAGGGACCAAAATGTCCCAACAACAGCCAGCATCAAGTTGCCAGCCATGCCAGCCTGCTGCCCTACAAGTTATCTTTGTCCTTGTGCAGACTTCAGATACTATAGCCCCAGCTGACAGAGTGAGTACAATCTCAGAAGGGCAGCCCTCAAACTCCTGACTGACAGAAACTGGGAAATGATCCTCATTGCTATAAGCCATCACATTTGGGGATAATATGAAACTATGAACAAATAATAAAGCGCTAATCCCCTTAGTCACGTCTGCCACCACCTTGCATGGGTCTCTCCTCTTTTCCTTCATCTGTTTTTCTTTTTTCACACTACAGTTCCCCAATCCAGCTCTAAAGGGGTGCTCAAACTTCCTATATTTTATTATGCAGAGTAACTTAGGCTTCATCTAGACCTCTTCCATTTAGGGTTAGCCCTGGGAACTCAACTCTCCTTGACCAAAAAACCCATTAAGTTTCAAAATAAAGATATATATATTTTACCAAATCAGGTGGTACCAGGTTCAGTCAGACAGTTTTTAAAACAATTACTCTTCCACTAATAGAAGTATACATGAGCAAAGAGCTACAAGAGCAGAGAAGACACACCTAAGCTGGCCGGGAGCTCTCGGGGGAGGTGATACTTGAACTGAGATTTGAAAGGTAAATAGGAGTTAGTTGGGAAGAGAAGTGAATGAAAGTCACTTATGGAGAGGTAATAGCAAGAGCAAAAGCTCAGAGGTGAGAAAAGACAAAATTCTGAAAACTGTAAATAAGGGTGTGGGTGAGATGCCTATTGGGGAGCTTGAAGGATGTTGGGGGCTACATTGTATCAGGCAATGTAAGCAACAGGTATAAATTAGGAGACTGCGTGCAGAGAGATCCCCTGATTCAACTGACTTAGAATTAAGAACAATGAATTCACTCTCAAATAACAGTATCTCAGTAAGTCCATAAGGAAGGCAGCTCCCATGTTGGTTAACTCAGTAGCGCAAGGATATTGTCAAGGACCCAGGCTTTTGCTCAAACTCTGTTCTGCTGTCCCTGGCTTGTTTCCAATGGCTGTAGGATTTTTGCATATCCAGGCAGCATACCCTTAACATTACTTCTGGAGGTAGAAAAGAGACCACTTTGTCATTATGTAAGCTTGTATTTCTTAAGATGGGGGAAATCTTTCCCAGAACATATCCCTTCCTCCTGTCATTGCTTCCAGTGGCTGACTTTGCTTCACTATTAGTGCTTAGAATTACACTGTATTTCCATGCTTGAGCAAATGAGAGAATGGGCCATCACTGACTTAGGTCAATTGTAGTTTACTCCCTGGGTTGGGGTTGGAGCCTAGCACGCTTTAAGCACACATGGTCTGCATAGGAGGGTGGTTACTGGAGTGAAATTGAAATTGTTAACAAGATGGAAGAGAGGGTGTTGGTTTTTTGAGTAGGCAGTCAGCAGAACTGCCACATCAAGCTAAGTCATTTGGACTATAGCCCACACAGAGAGGGAATCACCAGCAGGATGGGAAGTAGCGTGATTATAATTCACTATAGCACAATGGAGGTGTATGTAGGAGAGGTGTGGTTCTCAAGGCAGGGCCACCAGTTAGAAGGCTTCCTCAGAAGATATTGGCAAGTTTGCAGACACTTGAATTAGGAACACCTACTCACTAATTGGATGGAATCAGGAGAAGGAAGGAGAAGTCTAGAATGACTTGCAGATTTCTCCTTGGATGAATCATAGGCTACTTCATCAAAGTTTGGAATATGAGGGAAGGGTGTTGGAGGGATAGATAAAGTGAGCAGAGAGACAATGAATTTGGTCTTGGACAATGAGGTGCCCCAAAGATATGAAGAGAATTATATAAAGTCAAAGTGTGATGATCTTACAACAAACTTCTTAGAGGCTGGGACAGGATGAAGTTTGGAAGGAAGGGGAACTGATGAACCAGTGTAGCACTGGTTTGGCTGATCTTACTGATGGCTACATAGAATCAAAGACTTCTTAGAAAAACTAGAAATGTCATTGTAGACGAGCCTTTAAAAAGCAGTTAAAAACCTGTTTTGAAATACAGATTTCTGTAATTTGTTTCAACACGCTGAGTTACACCAAATGAGATGGAGAAATGATCTCAACTTTTTTTTTGGCCTCCTGACTGGAAATGTTGGGACTCAACCCTATGAGCTGTTAATCAGATAAGCATTAAGGTATTAGTAAAGAATCATGCTTTACAAATGACTGAGGGCATATGAACTTACTGAACAAAGAACTGTCCAAACCAGATGTATAAAGAAAGTGTAATGAGAAGGTTAAAATGGAAGCATCTTCTTTATAATAGTTGAGAAATGTAAATTACAAGATGCCTCAATGTACCTTCACGCTCTAAGTCAATATAATTCATAAGCCATATGAATTCGGTTCTGTTTAACACATAAATAGGAAACTTCACTCAAAAATACCCAATGAGTGGAACACTGAAGTTTGAAATATATCACCTTTGAGAACTAAAAAAAATATATTGTTCCAAACATTTTATCTTTCTCCATAGCTAGTTTCAGGCTCTACAATAACAAAAATGCCTGACATGAATATAATTTTGTGAGTAACTTAACCCAGTGGGTGGAATAGTTGGAAGCCTGGATAAAGCACTTAATGCAAACAGGAGACCAAGGGACAGAGAAAAAATTGATAATTGAAGAAGGGCAGTTGAGAAGTCCTAAGAAATGGGGAGGGTAATGGAAGAATAAGATAATAATCACAACTGACTATACAAACTGGACAACGGGCAGGCCATCTGTAAGCAGAACTCTGCAGCAACAAGTCAGCAACTGTCAGAACTGACCGATCAGCTTTCTTATTTTTGTCCCTGTCCTTCCAGCTCAAGTAGACAAAGTTAAATCTGCTCCCCAAGCCATCTGCATAAGCTGTCCTGCTTCTAGTTAGCCCTCTTCCAGCTTCTCCAGTCTAACATCTCAATCAGAGCTAAGTGCATACTCTCTTTTTTTTAATTCTTAAGTTGTCCCTTCCCCTATCTGATATGTGATGGTGACTGACTGCCTTGTTACAGCAGGCATAGAACATATAACCTCTTTTTCTACTCATCGAAGTGATCATTTGTTGTAGCCATTTCACTTATCATATACTAGCTGTATTTTCTGTACGAGGTAGTGCCTAGCATGGATGTGGCAGGTGAGAATTGTAACAATCTATCCAGCACTGATGTGGGAAGAGCCCCTGCTCTCCAGGGTAGTCTGTCTATTGAATATAATTGCAATTCAACGTGGTACGTGAAACAAGGACGTATATACACAAGGGGAGATAGAGCAAGCCAGGCTTAGGGGAGGTGCCCCTTATGCCCAGTGTGTAAGGGATGAGTAGGAGATGGCTGGGCTAAGTGGGAAGGATCTTAAAGGCAGGTGCAGTGGCATGGGGTTGGGTGGTGTTACCAAAAACCAAGATGCCAAAAACTTTGAAGCACACAGCTGGAGAGTAAGGGAGGTGAGGTGCAGCAGAGAGGGCTGCAGGGTCGTGCATAGCCTTGTATGTGAAGCCTTAAAGGGTTTGGTCTTCACTCAGTTCAAGCGGCTCTCTCCTGGTGGAAGCAAGGAAGAAAAACAGCACGAAGGAAATACTACGTTTGCATGTTATTACGGTAGGACCGGAAAGACAGGGACACAGCCGCTCAAAATGTCTGTCTGGCACACAGTAGACATTCATTGAAGGTTGAATGAATGAATGGATGGATATAAGTTCTTGGCTGTAGACGTCAATGTCCCTGTTTTGTCACTGCTCCGCCCCCTCCCCACCTTGGTACGAGGTATGGAAGCCAAGGCAGCATCAGAGGGGAGGCAAGAGGGAGGGCTTGAGGTTGGAGGATCACCTGCCACTCTGGTGGGCAGGGCTGGCAGACACAAATATCCAATAGGTTGTGGGCAAAGGATGCACTTCTGGGCGAACACCCCGGGCCCACCCATCAGCGCCGGTCGGCGGGTCGGTCCTGGAGCAGCGGCAGAGAAAGCAGTGAGCAGAGAGCGCCGCCGCACCTCCCCGCCGGCTCACCTGCGCGCCTCCCCGCCCGGCGGAGCTGTCGCACGATGCCCTTTCGGATTGGACGCGATCGAAATCCCGGGGCGGGCATTAGAGGCCCAGCGCTCTTGGGGATTGGCCACCTCGGCGGACGGACGTGCGGGCCACGGAGCTAGTTTGCAAAAGGCCCAGACAGCGCGGCGGGCGGGCCCCTCTCCGCGGGTCCCCTGTCATTGGCTCCCTGCGGTTTCCTTGGGGACGTGGCGCCGCCGGCGGCCCGGGCCTTCTTCCGGCTGGGCTAGAGGCCGCTGGGGAGCCGCTCTGGAGCGAGCACGGAGGTGCTGAGGGAGCCGGCGAGCGGCTCGACCCGGTGAGCGCCTGCGGGCTCCGCGGCTGTGACGGACTGGGAAGGGGGGCGGGGACCCCTCCCACCTTCGCTCTCTGGGGGCCGAGGGACGGGGATGCTCTTTCCTCACCGAGCGCGGGTAGGGGTCCGCCGGGCCCTCGGACAAGAGCGAACGCAGCTGGAGTGGGAGCCAGGGGAGAGAGTGGGCGCCAGGGCAGAGTGGGCGCCGTGACCTTCTGGTGCGGGTCTGGTCTCGAGGGCACGCTGGAGGTAAGCCTGAAATCCAACCAACTCTTTCCAGGCTGCAGATTTAGGAGATGCCTGGGACACGGAGACCATCTGCTCAAGGCAAAAGGAAAAGGAGGTGACAGGTGTTGAGACCACTTAAGGGAACCCATGGCTAGGTAAGGCTGCACACTTTCTCCTCAGCTAGGGCTCGTCGGGAGCTGGCAGGCTGGCTGGGGAACAGCCCCGGGGAGGCTGTTATTAGTGAGATTGACCCCAGGGCTGCGTTTGGACTTTGCAGCCTGGTCAGATGAATACCGACACATCAACAATGCAGTTTGGGGAAGGATGCAACAGTTAACAGCTCATAACCAGAGATGATGGAGTGAGTGCTCACTCAGCACTGAAAAGTGCTAGATCTTAGTGTTCTAATTCCATTTGAGTGAGGCCAGGGGTCCCTTGAGGAGGTTAAACAAAGATATTTTGTTTTTTGTTTTGGACAGTGAACTTTGAAAGCACTCGGGGTCGGTCGATACAGTAAATGAATTTCACTCAGGGATACACTTACAAATATGTCATAATTCTTTGGAGCTTATGGAAAAGATTAGCGTGGATCTACACGTGACAGTGGTTAAATAGAGTTAAGTGGGGGAAACCTGCAGCACAGTATGTGCGGTGTAAGACCAAAGGACCAGACGAATAAAAATGTTTTTATAAATCAATGGAACCCATCTTCTGCTACCCAGGCATTTGACAACCTTCTTTGTGAGAATATTACAGTGGCTCAGATTCTCCAATCTTATGAGATTGCCGAGAGAGACTTAATTTTTTTCATGAATGAAAGATTAACTCTGAATTAAACCCCGAAGTGCAGATTTTGGAAAAAGAGCTGGTAAGGCATTTCTGATTTATGTAGTTAGCAGCACCAGGAACCTTACAGCTCCTTCTCTTCCATGAGGCTGAAAGGACTTTGAGACTTCTGGCTGTGTAAATGTTTGTGTTTTTTTGGAAGATCTTTTATCCCCTTGGAATGACCGTTTCCAGCATTCACTTGTAGATACTTACCAGTGTTTGTCTCATTTCAGGATCAGTTTTTCCTACCTCTGCCCAGCCTCCTGGTATTTCACTGTGCCCACTGTGAGCCCATTTCCCCGGCAGCGAGTAGCCTTTCTAGGACTCTTCTTTATCTCTTGTCTCCTTTTACTGATGTTAATCATGGACTTTCGACATTGGGGTGCTCCATCACCACGAGATAGGCAGTACGAAAGGTGAGTCAGCCCTGATCAGCTTTGTTTTTGAAGTCATAAATATTTTGATAAGCTGTTTAACACTCTCCTACCTTTGACCCTTTGGGGAATACTGCACAGGCATTGGTGAACTGTATGCCACTTATTCCAGAAAGGGGACCTAAAGCCCTGCTTTAGCAATGTTTGGTTTTGTTTCAAGAATGCTGGTACAGTCTTTTACCCATGAAAGGCATCTTTCTATTTTTTTTTTTGTTTTGGTGGGCTGACTTACTGGGTGCATAAATGTTTAGTATTCTTATGCTCGCTTGATGAATTGACCCTTTTATTGTTATTGAATGACTCTCTTTATCCTTGCTTATATCATTGTTCCGAAATTTACTAGGTCTGGTACTAATATAGTTGTTTCAGCTTTTGAAATTAATGGGATGACTGTTTCCCCACCATTTTAGCTCTACCCTGCTTGTATCTTTATACAAAAGATAAAGTGGGCTTCTTGTAAGCCTCCTTGAGTCTTCCTTTTTATCCAGTCTGCTAATGTCTGCCTTTTAATTGGGATGTTCAAGCCATTTATACTAATATGATTATAGATTATGTACATTATCTGTCTTGCTGTTTGTTTTGTTTCTCACAGCTGTTCTCTTTTTCTTTTTTCTCCCTTCTGTTATATTGAATAGATTTTTATGATTCCCTTTTATCTCCTTTGTTGGCTTGTTAGATATTACTGTTTTTGTTTTTTAATGGTTGCTTCAGGATTATAGTATATGTTTTTAGCTCATCATATTCTACCTTCAAGTAATATTATACTTCTTCACACATAAATATACAAATGTAGTGGTGGTGCAGCGGGTTAAAGCCCAGCACTGAGAAGCCAAAGCCACTTATGCATGAGTTCGATTCCCGCCCCGGAGGTGACCAGAGGGCGCGGCAGACCCTCCTCGCCTGCCCGCTGCTCCCCTCAGCAGTGTGCTTCGTCGATTTGCCTGTTCTGCTCCCCACTGTCTCTGGTGAAGCCTCTTGCCACCCCTGAGCCTCTGGCCTATACCCCAGTTCTGTATGCACAAATAAATAAATCTTAAAAAAAATCAATGTTTAAAATATATATATATATATATATATATATACACAAACCTAACAACCTTTGTGCCCTGTCACACAGCTTACTTTTACATATGTTATAAACTCCACAACTGTTATTTTTGCTTTAAACACTCTGTTATCTTTTTTTTTAAAAGGTTTATTTATTTACATATACAGGCCAGAGCTGGGGGGTGAGAGGATTCACCAGAGACAGAGTGGGGAGCAGAACAGGCAGATCGGTGAAGTACACTGCTGAGGGGAGCAGCGGGTGGGTCAGGAGCAGTCTGCTGCACCATGTGGGTCACCCCTTGGCAGGGATTGAACTAGCTTCGTAGTGCTGCTGGGCTCCATTGTGCCACCAGGGAGGGCCCTCACTTATCTTTTAAAGACGTTTTTGAGGTGACTCGGTGATGGGAAACCCATGGGGATTACAATGGGAAACCTACGGGGATTACAATAGAGATGAAAAAAAAAGTACAAAATGATGTAAAAATAAATTATTATATTATAAAAAAATAAAAGTTTTTGAAATAAGATATGTTCTTATTTTTGAAAAAAAGATATATTCTTCATTTCAGGACCTCTTTATTCCTTTGTGTTGATTCATATTTCCATCTGGTATCCTTTTCCTTTTGTGTAAAAGATTTCCTTCAACATTTCTAGTAATGAGAGCCTGCTCTCATGATGAATTCTTTCAACTTTTGTTTGACTGAAAAAAATCTTTATGTTGCTTTCCTTTAAAATAATTGTTCATTGGGTATAAAATGCTAGGTTGATAATTTCTTCCCCACCCCTGGGGGCTTCATTACTTTAAATATGATGCTCTGTGGTCTGAAGAATTGTGCTCTGTCTGAGAAGTCTGCTGTCATTTTTTCTGTCTGCTCTCTCCATAATATGTCTTTTATCTTTGGTAGCTTTTAAGATTTACTCTTTATCCTTGGTTATAAACAATTTGATTATTATAGTGTGCCTTGGTGTAATTTACTTCTTGATTCCTGTACTATGATTTGTTGATTCATAGATCTATGGATTTATATCTTTTAATCAAGTTTGGAAAAATTTTGACCATTCAAATATTTTTTCTGTCTTCTCCTAGTTCTCTTGGAGTTGAGAGAGTAGATGTATCTATGCATATAGATATATCAGTTTATATTTATATCTATCTATATAGACCACCTATCTATATAGATCTCTATAGCTATCAATCTATCTATAGATCTTCTATATAGATAGATGGATATTGAAATCTATCTATATCTATCTATACTTAGATAGATATAGATAGATAGATATAGGTACAAATATAAATTATGAAACTAGAGTCATGTGAGAGCTGTTAATTTTTTTTTCAGTCTTTTTCTTTATGGATATGTTATATTGTGTCTGCTAGCTCATTAGCATTCTCTTCTGTACAGTCCGTTATTAATTCCATCCAGTGAAAGTAGAATAACTTTTTGCACAGAAAAACATCTGACGTACTTAATATACTTTTTTTTTAAGATTTATTTATTTATGTTTACAGAATTGGGGTACAGGCTAGAGGTGTGGTGGGTGAGAGGATTCACCAGAGACAGAGTGGAGAGCAGAACAGGCAGATGTATTGAAATACACTGCTGAGGGGAGCAGTGGGTGGTTCAGGAGAGGTCTGCTATGCCATGTGGGTCAGCTCCCTGGCAGGGTCAATCAAACTTGTGCTGCAGTGGCTTTGGAGAGTTTCATAATGTGGTGCTTTAACCCATTGCGCCACCAGGTAGAGCCTTTAATATACATTTAATGCCTTACCAGTTGCCACCATCTATATTAATTTATAATGGTAATTTGTTTTGCTATTTTTGTGAGATTAGTTTCTTCAAAACCTTCCAGAGTTTCCCCAGTGCTCTTAGGATAATGTCTAAACTCCCTAAAATGGCTTAACAGGCTCAGCCTGATCTACATCTCCAGCTAGTACAGCTTACCACTCACTCCCTAGTAGTTTTATTCTAGCCAGCTTAACCTCCATGGAATTCCATAATTAGATCCATTAGAACATGTTCCTCATCTTCAAAATTATCTCTTTATTGCTTCTCAGATATCTGTCAGCTAGAATGCTTGTGGCTGTAAATAATAAGCAACTGTCTTAACTAATAAGAACGTGAATTGACTTAGATAACTAGAAGTCTAGGGGCTAGAGAGAACACAAGCTCAACTTTGACTGGTAGGATAGGATTCTCTATTTGTCCTTAGAGTCAGCTTACTCAAAGTTTGCAAAGCAGCAGCTAGTAGCTACTAGAGCTGCATACATCCTCAACTTACATCCTACAGAGAGAAACAGACCTTCCATGGCTCTCTTATAAGGATATAAATCTTTTCCAGAAATCTCTAGCAACCCTTTCTATGAATCTCTTAAGGACAAGCCTACTTTTGCTAATATTTCTGTTCCATCCCCATAATTTCTCACTTCCTATTCACATTGGCCATTCATTCATTCATTCATTCATTCATTCATTCATTCATTCATTCATTCAACAAACACACTTATTGAGCAGCTCCAATGTGCTAGGTGATAAGAGACATGAAGGCCTGAAGACTTTGGTACCTTTTCTCAAAAAGTTTGTTTTCAAACCTTCTAGTAGCATTATTCATTTATATTTCATCTTTTCTCGGAGAGGAAACTCTTGTTTAGATAGATGGCTATAGTTGTCAACAGTTAGCTATAAGAAGCTTTGAAGAAGTTCATAAATTCATAATTTGAGTTTCTTTCATGTTTTGTTGCGGTTTCTTGATAGATTAGGGCACAGTTTCCCACTGGAATACGGCATGATCCTGTTATGGAGTAGGTTAATATGGCTAAAACAACAGCTACTGCAGAATGAGTGGTGAGCTACATAGGATGAGGGGGTTAGGTCAGGATGGGCCTGTTAAATCACGTTAGGGGGTTTAACGTACGAATGGTATTGGAAAGACTTTGGTAGGCTTCGAAGAGTGAAATGATCTGAAGTGATTTGTAAGCTTTCTTTGGTAATGTTGTAGAGGATGAGTTGGAAAAGAATAAAAGTGAAAGCAAGAAGACAAATTGAAACACTTGAATAGAGAGGTTATGGTAGCCCGAACTTGAACTTGAATGGCAGCCCTGATGGAGAGATGAACATGCATTGGAGAGAGCAGCGGGAGGGAGAGATCCAGTGGCTCTTGTCTGCCACTATTTCCCAAGTGGTCAAAGCCAGTAAATACTTGAATTAATTCAACTTGTTAAGTTGAATTAAAACAAGTTTGCTGCAGCACTAAGGAACACACAGACCACTGTCACGGTGGTCTAATCAAAGTCTTGACACCCTGTAATGCTCTTGCTGAGCATCCAGCAACTGTGCGACCTAAAGCTTCTTGTCCTAGAATAAAATGTCATGTTGCCAAAGGTCATCCTTCACGTATGGCAGCCTCCATGAGTCATTTAGGAAGTTTAGATGGTTGTTGAGAACTTGTGTGCCAGACACTGTACAAAGATGGCTTCATCATCAAAAATTATTTCCCAATGAGATAATAGTTCATATAGAGCTGTGTAGAATCAGGGAATATCAGGAACTGTACATCCAGAAATCAGGAACAAAGTTAAGGATCAGAAATTGATAAGAGGCCCATGAGTAACCAAATTTGCTACCACTGAATTTATGCACTCTGCTCACTAAAAACTCATGTACTTCACTGATAAGGGAGGCTTTCACATCGAGCCCATTTGCTTTTATTTAACACATTTCTTAATTAGTCTGTTGCTGTCTGTTGTCTCAGAGCACAGCAAATTAGAATGGTGGAAACGGGGAGGGTGTCATGGTCATTGGATGGGACATACTGATGACAATTAGTCACATCTGGCAGCTGGGCCATGAGGCAGAAGAACAGAAATTTATTCAGGAAAGATGTAGTAACTCAGACTATTTTTACAGACCATTTCTGTAGTGGCAAACAGTGAT